AAAATGTATTCAATAATTTTCCTTACTCAATGGATTTACTTCGTACGGTTATTGCTTTCACTCACATTACAGTGTATAATTTAAATTAATGTAAACGACGTTGTTCAAAATATCTATTTTATGTCTAGTATTATATTGAACTTTAATAATCACCCTGTAGAGTGATTATTATGAATATATCTGCCGTATCACTTTTGAACCTCGATTATTTGTGGAAAAAGAATTATTAAAAAAAGTTAATAAACCTGAAACGAAAAACACTGTACAAATACAAGACATGTTTCCTAACATCTAAAAGAGAAGATAGTATTTTCCTCGTTCAGTAAATAATAAAATTAAAACGAACTTTACTATAACATTTCGTGATCACCGTTTCATATTTTATGTCATTTTAGTGTATGGCCAGCTTTAAAAACGGTTGGAAAAATCATTGCGCATGTTCGCAAAAAACATTCGAAATCAGTTCGGCGTCACTTATGTACTCCTACGTTTCTTATAGTTTACGGCTTCGCGTCTAAAAATTAAGTGTTTGTCATAACAACAAGCAGTGCTAAGTACATAATTGTAATGTATTTTGTGAAATTAAGAGTTTATTTGTATCTCTCCCCAAGTTTTTCGGTGCAACGTCGATGACGGTTGAGATAAAGAAATTGATAATGTAGTATAAATTAGAAATTAGGAACGACTGCAGTTTATTGGTTAGTTATTGTTAATTATAATCAAAGTGAATTCATAGTGCTTGTTCTAGGTTTTACGCACTTCGTCAAATAAAAACTGTTACCGTTATAAAAACCAACCGGTTTTTTTTCTTAAAAAAAAACCTGAAATATAATTATTGATTACCTGTATTAATTTTAAAATAGATTCATGTCACAAATGTCACAAGTTAAGTAGATAATAATAATAATAATTCACGAAAATGATATAAACTTATTTATGGGACATATACAGGGTGTCCTAGAATAACGTGTACAACGGACGACCACAGATTCGTGGACTCAAAATAGGCAGATTTAAGCTAATTCGATTTTGATTATTTTGGGAGTATGGACTTTTGCTTTCAATTTACACATTTTAGTGTTATACATGATGTTTTTTTAAATTTATAACTCCTACAAAATTGTATTATTTTTCGGCAATAATACAACTATTTTTTATTTGATAGGTGATATAATTTGGAAATTTTTCGGTCTCTTTTAATTAAATGAGCGGTTTGGATACATAAAATATTTTTTAAATGTCTACGTTATCTTGCGACCCATATTACAATACTTAACAAACTGCTAGTAGCCACTGATTTTGTAGGTTGACTGTAATTTCNGTTTGTAGCAGAACAATATAATATTATAGCTAAATTAAGGAAGCATCTGACAGTAGTGATTAATGACTCATTAATCACTGCCGTGATTAATGGGTATTATTAAGGTCGAGCAAACAGACGTATAATGGGTACATTATACAATAGTCGTGGATAAACTTATTTATGGGACATATACAGGGTGTCCTAGAATAACGTGTACAACGGACGGCCACAGATTCGTGGACTCAAAATAGGCAGATTTAGGCTAATTCACCTATATCCAAAATCGCTTCGTTTGATCGCTAGATGTTCTCAAAGTTCGTAAATATTTTTTGAATTTTGTAAATAACTCGAATACGTATGATTCGATTTTGATTATTTTGGGAGTATATACTTTTGCTTTGAATCTACACATTTTGGTGTTATACAGGGTGTTTTTTTAAATTTATAACTCCTACAAAATTGTATTATTTTTGGGCAATAATAACAACTATTTTTTATTTGAAAGGTGATATAATTTGGAAGTTTTTCGGTCTCTTTTAATTAAATGAGCGGTTTGGGTACAAAAAATATTTTTTAAATGTCTACGTTATCTTGCGACCCATATTACAATACTTAACAAACTGCTAGTAGCCACTGATTTTGTAGGTTGACTGTAATTTCAGTTTCATCTTTAAGTCATTGTGCCTGCCAATTCTTAATGAGTGTTCACTACGATAAGATATACCACACGTTACTTCATTTTTCGATATGGATACACACATACCTGTACGACGAATTAAGAGTCGTTTACAACGTGCCTAATTTTATTGAAATAATTTGTAAAAACAATCAAATAGAATAAAAAATGCAACAAAGTTGATTAAATTTAGTACAACTTATTATAAAAATAATACAGAAACGATAATACAGAAACGTATGGAATTTTTAATGTATAAGTTATTTATTTTTGCCGACCTAAAAGAAATCTAGTTTCTAATTGTATCGGGTGTCCCAAAAAGTGTTGCCAACGAAAAAAAAGGATGGCAGCTGACAGTTGAAGATTATCAAAAATGGAGCGCCACTCGAAAGAATAACGCGTTTTCATTGTTGAGCAATATTTTAAAAGTAATGAAGGTTGCGTGAAATTTGGGACATCCCTTAGAATGCAGGAGAAAGTCAAGCATTTAATATTGAATTTGTACGGGGGTTATTACGTTTTATCTCTACTGTTTTTGTACTTTAAAGATCAATTTTCAATTTTAGAAAATTTCTTATAATCTAAAAGCAATAAGTATTTGAAATCGTCTTCTACATGAACAGTTAAAAATTTAATATTTCTCTTCTTGCTAAGTTTAATTTCAATTCAATCCAATCGGCCTTAAAACCTTTAATTTTTGACACACCGTGTCTGCATGTCTTTTCCATGGTTATGTTGACAATTAACGAAATGTTTTGGATTTTTTGAACACTGTACAGTCATATATTTGCATTCTACATTATCAGATTACAATTTCACTTTGTTATTTCATTGAAACATTTACTTTTCACACTTTATTACTTTATTTTAATATTTTAAGCATAAAACATAAACTGTAACAAACTACTCACTATTTTCATTAATTTAAAAGCTTTATAGTTATGCTTCCAAGCCGTCTGGCTCCATTACGATGCACTTTCATGATAGTGGCTTCTGGCGCGAATTTTCATTATTTTTGCTTACAAACTGTTATCTTCAGTTTTAATGTGAAAAAATAATGTTATCTGTTGTAATAACATAGACAGTACTAGAAGTTTATGAAACCTTTCATGTTTCTATGCATATTTACACTTCACGTCATCTTTCAAGTTTGTGTAACAAAAGATTATCATAAATTGTTTGTTTTTAAATTTATTTGTCTGTGTGGTTCATTTATCTTAAAATAAAAAAGTTTAAAACGGCTCCTTCTTTGAACAAAACCAAAAAGATTATGTTTCTTAGAAATACTGACTTTTTGTTGCACTTTATGACGATGAAGGGTATTTAGAATGATATTATAAAAAAAGTAACTCGAAAGATCTGACGCTAAATTTGTAAATTTCAAATAAGTAGCAAAATTACGTGTTTTTTTTTACTTTTTTACTGCCCATGAAAATAAAGTTTTCAAAAAGTTAAAATTAAGTTGCTCTTTACATCTAATAGAGTAGGATATGCAAAACAGCGTTATAAATAAATTATTATTATAAAACCAAAAAAAAAAAACATCAAAATTGTATCAATTCTCGAGATATAGAGACAGAACGTTTACTTTTGCTGCTGCTAACGAATTTATTACATGAACAATCAGTGCAAAGCTTTTTGAAAATAACAGTTTAACCTTTTCTTTAATTGTCTCTAATAATCACAGTTCGATACGTCCATAGTTAATTAACAATTCACTTTATACTATCTTAGGAACAAACAGGCGTATATAGGTAATTTCTTCTTTTTTTAATTGCCGTAGAAATAAGCTCTATCTAATGCAAAAAGAGCGAATTCCCGAGCGGTTTTTGCCTGTCCCTGGGACAATTTATTTATAACGCTGTTTTGCACATCCTATTTTGTTAATTGTAAAGATCAATCGATCAATTAGAACCTATATCTGTGATATTAACTTCTAAAATTAACGTTTAGTAATAATTAAACAATTAGTTGCAAAAAACGAAATTAATTAACAAATATCTAGAGCAACAATTTTCACGGTCAAAAACTGATTTTTCCGCGGTCGACCTTTATTTTTCAGTTACCAAATTGCCGAAGTATGACTTTAAATACCTTAAATTGTATGTAATTTAATTGCCTACAACGTAAATAACTAATTTTCCGATAGGTCGCTTAGATTTTCATGGGTTGTGAAAAAGTTGAGAAATCACGTAATTTTGCCGCTTATTTACAATTTGCTAGAGGTACCTATCTAGTTTTTTTATTATCATTCTACATACCCACAAAATGCAATAAAATGTCTACTAATAATTTATTTAAGGGTTTACCTTTTCAGGGTTTACCAAATAGTTTTTAAATTCGCATTTAAAAAAAAATGGTATGGTCCAAAATTCTAGGATTTTTTTTTATGATTGATGTGCTTGAGGGGGAGGGGGAGGGGAACGGTAGAACGTTCTGTGAATGTTCTGTGAATATGTTGAATTGAAATGCTGTTTCAGAAAAATATACACATCGCTTTTTCGGAGATGTTATCTGTACTTTTTAAAATTCTTTTGCAGCAAACTTATATACAGGGTGTCCCCCTAGAGCTTCGGTAAAAAATTTTGATTAATAAATCAACCAAGAAAAATCGCTGGAAATAGTTTTCAAGTTCGTAGCTCGGCCGCTAGGAGCGCAATCTACACACCAAAACAAAGAGTTGAATTTTTCTCAGAAAGGTTTTTTTTATAAACGCATTTTGCACCATATTTTAGAAACACCCCGAGTACGGTGCCGCAGAATTGTTGGGCCTGATTAATTCTTATATTCCTGTCCGGTATTAAATAGGTGTATGATTTCAATCGCCGCCCATTTTAAACCTAAAGAGCCGTATTTACACCAAAACAAAACTAGCGTACCACCACGTTGCATTCTTTGTTCATTCTCGACACAGTAAAACAACAACAGCCACACGACAACACACCACAAGCGATATATAAAGCACCCCGGCTGCATTTCACCTGAAAGGCATTCGTTGAGAATAATGACGTGGTGTTTCAGATCCGGAAAATATAGAGGCGTCGGACTTGCAGAGGAAACTGGAAATGCTGAACAATATAATGGACCAGGAGGCGCGCGCCGAACAAGCGCGCCGACAAATGCAGTATTTCGGCCACTGTAAGTAGATTTTTTTCATTAGATCGCTTAATTTTTTATGTAGTCGTCGTAATAAATATGTGATATTGTTTCTAAACGAAAACGCCTTCTGAATTCGTAAGTTTGATTGGAAAAATAAAGTAAAATATAACGGTTAAAAATACTGGCAGTAAGTATTGAAAAATATTGTTTAGCTAAAATACAGGATGTTTGGAAAAGTTGGTACAAAATTTAAGGAGGTGAAAATCAAACCAAAAATAGTAAAAAAGGTTCCAATATACATTGGTCCTCCGGAGCACCGTTACTGAGATGGATAATATTATTTACTTACTTGAATTCAAAGGAATAAAAAATTCGAAAAATTCCTGTTAAGGTTAGTTAGAAAACTATCCTTATTTATAACCGACTTTGACGAAACTTATGATAGTTAAAGACCCTTACGGTATGATTATTACCTACAATTTTCATTCCATTATCTTAATCAGAAAGAAAGTTATTTTAAAAAATATCCAAAATATAAGACTCCTTTGGAGGGCCATATCACAGCAACGGTATTCCGAAGGATGAATGTTTATAGGAACGTTTTTTACTATTTTTGGCTCTATTTTCACCTCCTTAAATTTTGTACCAACTTTTCCAAACACCTTGTATATATCTGTCAATAAAATTGTCTATCTACAGGGTGTCTCAGTTTTGATTTATGGGAGCAGATAATACAACGAAAAATGATAGTATTTTGTTATTAATCCTATTTTGAAATATCAACCGGCTTTCGAGATATAGGGTGTTAATAATTAAAACAAATCATTTACTGTAAATATCTTCTGAAAAAAATAGAGGTATTTGAACTAAATTTGGTGTAAACAATGGCGGAGGTATTCGACTATTTTATAAAAAAATATATTACGGTCCTGTACAAAATAATAATTGATTATATGTTCTGAAAAAGCCTGTCAATGGGAACAAAAAATTCCTCTTACATTTTGTCGATATCTGTCTCTGTTTTACGGCAAAATATATTTTTCTTTTTCCTTTAAAATTAGCCAGATACTGTACGCTAATGAATTTTTTAAATTCCTGTTTGAAATATTTCAGTTGGTTTCAAGTAATTTAAATAAAAAATAAAGTAGCGTACCAAATTTACTTCAAATACCTCTATTACTTCAGAAGATATTTACAGTACCCTGTATCTCAAAAACGTTGAGACTTCGAAATAAGTTTATATGACAAAGTATCATCATTTTTCGTTGTACTATCTGCCCCCTAAGTCTCATAAATAGACCAAATCTCCATGTACAGCGTTGCTAAAAGCCTCAGTTACATCCAACACAGAAAAGATTACAGTAATATAAAAACTAGTACCGTTCCTAGGCTCACTGAATATTTTATAATGACTAGAAGCCTTCTAGAAGTGTCTTTCATGTCGGGGATTTAATTGTTTTTGCAGTTTTCTTTTTTTTTTTTTTTTTCATCAAACAAATGATACCGACGTCCCTTACCATACGAAATAAGAAATTGTACAAGCAAATAACCGGACTTCTTTAACAGACGTCTGTCTTGAAACTCAGTGTAGTGGGAAGGAACACCGTGTTTTTCATTTAAATTGTTTTATTAAGCAAATCCGTGATGACAATCCGTGTAAGGGGTGGATCCAATGTAATATTTATCAAGTTGCGTGCTACAACGCCACTATGTTATTGTTTTAAGAATAGGGTCGATTCCATAAGTGAAATTTTACGTAGAATTTTTATATCAACATAAAATAAAGTCGGTACCTACATCGCATAATTTTTTGTTTATTCCGAATTTCTCAAGATCCTGTTGAATTGTGACAAAACATTGTAACGAAAGATCCATAATTAGACATTTTCAGTAGGTACATATTATATTCTGTGATGTGTTATTACGTTTCTAACAAAGTTGACAGTACCAACAAGAACCGATAATAGTGGGTAGCAGATTAAATGGAAATAGACAATATACTCTTTCTAAATTGTGCTAGGAACAACTTATTTAAAAAAATGTCGCTAGAAAAGATCGTAGTTGGTGATCCCATAGTTTAGCGTCTCAAAAGACAATTTTTAATACATAATATAGTCTTTCCGACGCAGCAACTCGGCATTGAAACATTAGAAAAACCTGTTCCCATATTTATTTAGCCATACCCATATACAGGTCTGGTCGCCCAGTTGAAGAAATAGCGCGCGGACAAACGCGGTACAAACACATCCGCACTGGGCGACCTCGCCATAAATTCAGTTGTCAACAAATGGCCTAGCAGTGCAGTGCAGCAATGCGGAATTTGTTGTGATTCAGGTAATTTTAATTTAATGTAGGCACCATCTATTAGTCATATTACAATGGCGAAAGGGAAAAATAAAAGGGATATTTTGTTTACTATTATCATTACAACATGGCATCATTTTGGAGACCTTTTGAAAGGACATAAATACATAATTAAAATATGTTGTTAGTCAAATAAAACATATTCTAGAAATTTTCTACACATTATTATATACAAATTATTATCATTTTTTACCTTTGGGAGAAAACTTTTTTAGGGACGCCTATGAAACATTAAATTTTATTGGTAGGGTTTTTTATATATATTTAACTGACTTCGGAAAGACTATACCATTGGTTTTGTTATGAACAAAATTTTATTTAGAGGATCATCTTTGACCTCAAAAACAAAAAACAGTAGGACCATGTCCATAGTCCTAGCAAAAAATTGTTTTATTTTTAATGTTCTGTCATCCTGAGCTAATTTTTTTGAAAACACTGTATGCTTTTAATAATCGTATTTTATGTACAATACCTATTATTACGTTTTGTGTACCCTTTTACGGCGTATTACCATAAATCTTCCCTTGGAAGCAAAATATTCAACATCTGCAAATTAATACGATTGCCCAGGGGTACATCTCAATGTAGGATTCATTTTCCCAGGATTTATTTGTGAATATTTAGGTACCTAAACATTGTTTTCCCTCGCATAAACAGATATTAGATATTAGCATCCCAAACGAAAATTTATGAGCTTTTACGATTATACTACATATTTAATAAAAGAGTGTTTATCCATATCAAAATGTAGGTCACCCAGTATGTTATTATTATTTAGAAGTACGACGGACTGAATCCTCATATAATGGGTAACAAATGCTAATGGTAATTACTCCGTCCGCATACGCGTTTGATTAAATTAGAGAATACATGATTACGGAGACATTCATATTGCAGTAATGACTGTAATGTCAGCTCGGTCCAGGCACTTGTAAATTATAGACGCCGTATTGATAACGTAATTGTTCAGTTATCCACTCCACTATAATATCTGTCTAGCTTTATAACATTTAGATATTTCATGGTGTATTATTATTAACTATGTCGCTATAGGGAGATATAATTATTTGTTCGTATGAAATGTGTTTCCTTATATTTGGCACCCCAAGCACAGCTGATATTTTTGATAAATTAAATATGAAACTGGTGTATATTGACAAGGCACGTTGTTTTATCAGTATCTCTCTTGCTGTAAGAGATGAACCCTCTAAACCTTTCTTAAAACTTAGCATAAAACTAATCCAAATCAGTATGTAACGTTGAATTTGCATAAACTACGACATGTCAAAAAATAAGGAAGTGTATATCTGGTCTAAATACTCTTCATGTAGTCCTATATAAAAAAACCTAGGAGAATTAGGTCCATGGAACGTGTGGCCACGCTAATGTAGTCTCGTGACTGGTCAAACGGGTCACAACCAACTGCCAATGAAACCCAAGACAATCACAAAAACGAGCACTACTGCCAAAAATTAAAGTATAGAAAATAGCTATGATTTGTTCTATCAAAAGTAGTATTTTTCTTGTACGAGTCCACTATCACATTCTAGTCTACAATTTGCAAGAATTGTCTTTGGAATTATGAGTTACGCATTGTGAACTTTTACTTTATTACCCCGCCAGTTATAATCATAAAACATATGGAAATACGACTCGCGTTGTCATAAAACTGCAGTACACTATAGGATTTAATATATAGGTATGTCGATCGCTTCCTTTTGTCCTCTCTCTCAAGTTTCCCAGGAAACAGCTGTTATAAATAGCCGGCAGACGACTTCAATTACAGTTTTTACTGTTCGAACAATCCGAGAAGCAATAATTTACACACCAGATCTCTGTAATGCATCTACATAAGCTCAGTTGCGAAGGTTTTCCCAGTTACGTTGCAACATTGTAGCTTTAAAGATATAAGAATAACACATAAATGACTTTCAATCCGGGCAAACTAGACCAAACAAATCGGGCCTAACTCGGGTTTTATGGGCTTAAAATTTAGTAAAAAATACACAGAATAAAAGCCTAAATTTGTGTATTTGTAGAGGTCGAGCGTCATATTGTTTATAACATTGACATTGTATCCTATAACTGGGCATTTGCCTGTTGGATATGTAGTGAAATAAATAAATAAATAAATAAATAACGAAAGAAAAAAAAATTGCTCTTTTTTCAGTTTTTCGCTTATATCTTCGAAAATAAGCCTCTAATCGACATGAGGTATACTTTTAGATTTTGTTCCGGAGACAATTTACTAAAAGGAAAAGCATTTGTGAAAGCTCGCTATTTTTTTACATTGCAAAATTAACGGTGAAAAAAAATTGTAAAATTTTCAGTATTAGATAAAAAGAATTTGACTGAAATTGGATGAAACTATAGGAAAAGATAACTGTTGGGGTGCTCAACAAAAACCCGCAATCCGGACCCTCAATTTCAAAATGGCGGCTTACTGCAAATTTATAAAATCGAAAACGCGAATGCGTATATCTTCTGCCCAAGTCAAGATATCGAAGTTCCATAAAAAGGATCTAAAGGTAATTACATTATCTCGCGTCTGTGTAAATTTCAGATTTTTAAGTTAACAAAAAAAAACGGTAATTAGAGTCCTTGTTTCAGCGATTTTTTAGTATACAGATTTCAAATCAATTGCATCAAATAGTGCTTAAAAAACATGAATTAAGAAAAAAAATCGGCTTGATCCCACCGAGATAATTTCTTTTAAACGGTATTGTGGCTGTTCTATTTAATATTTTGTGATAAACTTGGGCTCGTTATAAAGTAAAAGACTTCCTTTATACGCCGATTTTTTTTTTGAATGGATTCGACCAAGAAATGACCAAGTAAACGTTCGTTAAAGACAGCGTGATCCGCGCGGCTTAGCGCTAGCCATGAGAGGGAAGCGCTGTGACGTCATAGTGCCCATGCTGCGCTCGGCTTCTCAAAATTCTTACTTAACAAATGAATTGTGGCTCTTACATAGCAGCTACCGCTCTTTCGATTGGTGTAAGCAAAAGTCTGTGAAAGATATCGTCAGACCTCGTAAAATACATTTTTATTGACTTTCCACGTTTTCTTTTGTAATTTCATTATACTTTCGATATTTTGACAAGAAAAACAAGTCAATTATTTCTTTGAAGAAAGTGATCGGTACTCTATTTGGCGTGCTCAGAAAATTAACTGTTATTGCGTAGATTGTGTTAAATTTTCTGTTATTTTCTGAACAGACCTCGTACAGATGAAAACCCAATATTCAATTTTCATAAATTTTCTGTGAACGTCGAATGTTGTGTTGTATTATGTGTGTATGTGCCGCGCGTTTGTTAGACGTTATTTGGCATTTTATTATATGATCGAAATTCCAAAGCATCTTTGTGTAAACACCACCGTTATCCTCTTTTCCAGCTTATGATAATCACTTTGACAATGAAATTTCAGCGGGGTATTCGGAGGACAGCGACTACACGTCCGATCTGAATTATCCCGTTGGTCAACACGCCAACTCGTCCGCCTCCCAATTCCGCTCGGCGGCGCACCAGATCAACACGCCGCAGCGGTCTCTCGAAACGTCGAGGGAGAACTCGTACGAGAGAGACGACGCCCCCAACGCACAACACCACCTGTCGCAGCTGCCGACCACCCACCAACACCACCTCAGTCCTGGGACGCACCGGAGACACCACCAGGTGAGTGCCAAAGGAAAACAATGGTGTTGTGTTGGGTCGTTTGTCGTGGCAATTAATCTTGCATTGTCCAGACAGTCAAAAAAATATTCAGCCATTTAGGTCGCTGTTATACTTTTAGCAATCTTTCCAAAGGCACAAAACGGCTGATCAAAATTCTGTCTTATTCGTATTCGTTGTTGTTTAACGTAAAAACAAGTCTTTTATTATGTCAAACTTCAAACTTCTAAAGAGGAATCTTCCATTGTAATTAAATGGAATTTTAATAAGAGATGACTTCAAATTCAATGAGTCACCTGTCGCATTTAAATAAATAACCAACAAAGGGAATAATTGCCCTTTTAATATCATAAGACATTGTCTTCCATAAATGATTAATTAATTTGCTTTATCAAACCGTAATTATCGAAGAAAAAGTTCATTATTTAATAATCTTGTCATCATTAAGTAGAATAGATGTTTAATGTTTTTAAAGTAGGTCTCTATTGCAAAATAATATTGAGAAAATCACGTGTTCCAAAGGTTTGGTGTTTGTTTCGATCTCATTTGACTTAAGGAAAGAAAATGGCTTTATTTGTGGTCAATTTTTTTTATCTTTCCTAATTTCAATCGGTACACAAGCTGCACTCTATGCCCATGTCAATTTCTTAAGATTATTCTTTCTAGACCAAAAATTCATAATGAACCAGGCGTAAGGGTAAAACTGGAGGGCATAAGTTTGGCTAAAAATAACTAAATAAGTATGAAATTATCATATCTGCTATTAGCTTTTCCAAATTATATTATTAAATCCACTGCATTAACGATGAAAAGCACTATGGTTCTTATTTATATCGATTTGTTGACTTTTAACGAAAATGATACGGAATTCGATGATTTCAGATTTGTCTAAAAAAAAAACTGTTTTATGTTTTTTGACATCATAATTATTGGAATTATCGTGATTACTGGAATCCTAAAGTACAAACAAATTTAGGTTGTAAGAACTAACCATTTTTTGACAATTTTTTGTCATTTTTTGACATCAAACCCCAAACCTAAGAACCTTAAATCTAACAAAGCCAAAGGCGTCAAGATCCGAAACTAAAAGCCTAATTAATCGGAACCCTAGTAATTTAAACCTACCTAATTAATTTCCTAGGTGCCAAAAAATTGTCCAAAAAATGGCCAGTTCTTACAACCCAAATTTGTTTGTACCTTAATGTTCCAGTAATCGAAATTATGATCTCAAAAAACATAAAAACGTTGTTTCTAGACAAATATCACTTTTACCAGAGATGTGGTCAAAGAATGCCAAAAATGGTAAAATGAAATGGTCAGATCTCATCACCCAAATTTTATTAGTCTTCAGGATAACAAAAATCCAAGTCAGTATGTCAACAAACATAAAAAATAGACCAAAAAATGGCCCATTTTAATTCCCCTAATTATTAAGACTTCATAATCCATTAACTCAAAGTCAGTACGTCAAAAAACATAAAAGAAGCTACTTTTAGACAATAAATCCTTTTTTCTAGAGATATATGGTCTAAAAACCAAAAAAAAGGGCAAAAAAAAAAGGTAACAAAAACCCCAACAACTTTGGAACTTAAAAAAAAGAAAATCCGACTCAACAAGGCCAAAAACCGAAAACCTAAGAATAAAATAAGGGAATTTCCAAGGAAAAAAGAATTTAAAACAAAGAACGAAACAATTTTTTTTAATTTCTAATTATAGTTGTCATTTTGTGGCCGCCATTTTGAATTTTGAAATATTCCCAAAAATGGCTATCGTTTATAAGAAAGCTCGTGAGGTTACGAACATTTTGAGATCTTAAACGTATTTTTCCCTTACTTTTACTTTTAAAGAAGGAATATGACATATTAAATGATATATTTTGTGCAGAAAGTTCTGCAAAAATATTAACTATAAATTCACTAACACCTAACTTCGAAGACTTACAAATTTCCACGAATTTTTTTCAAGAAGACAAAAAAGTTGGAAGCTAGGAAGTGAGTTTGTCAAACTATCGCTCCCCACGACATCTGTCCATAGAAAGACTTGCATGCATATTTTCTGGTACATCCAGGTGCATTTTTATATAAATACATATTTACCGTCATACCTCTGTGTAGTAAACAAGGATTTATAGACTACTCCAGAGGCTTATCGTCCAACACAGTGATCACACTTTAATAGACGGTGCCATCTCACGAAGCGTTCGGTTAAATTTTACAAGGTATCCTACATAAAAATTGTTTGACTCTAAACTATTTCATGAATTTAGTTTATTTAACTTTGCCCAGTAAAAGAACCCTTGAAAGGGTTAGTTATATCTTAAGAATAACTCCCTGTACTTTTTTTTATTCTACAACGTTTTTCGATGCACAAGAAACAATATTCCAAGAGTGTTATGAATTTGGTTACAGTCCTGTGCTATTCTCAGCAAAAAATTAAAGAAATTAGTTCTCTTGGAAGATCTCCATTGAAAAACGTCTAACGAACTTAGGTAGGGCGACCTAGGTGTCCATAAGACAGATCCGGTGAAACAGAATGTTGTGTTTCAACGTAACCTTGACTTTGTTGTTCTGATAATTTTTAATTTTATCAAAATTTAATTACTGTTCCAAACAAAATTACTGGTTATGTGACTCGTAATCATTTGGAAAGACTGGTTTGTAAAGTTGGCGGTTTTAAAGGACTATCTGGTTTTTGACACAGATTTCCACATAAAGTGAGGTTAGGTTAGGTTCATACACATAAAGAAAATCGTGTCCTAACCTAATTCTACGTAGATCTGTAGATTTCTAAATAAAGTTGGGTTATGTTCGGTTAAGGTTTTTGTTTGGGTAATACATGAAATAACCCAACAGTAGAAATCTAGCGGTACAATTTACGTACCTACATTAGGTTGTCCCTAAACCTGTAAGTCTCGTGAACTTTTCATTCTACGAAAAAGAAATACGATTTATCTCGAAATAGACAGAACCCGTTTCAAAGGAAAATATTCTAAAAAGAATATTTTCACTTCGATAGCATAACTTTTTTAAAAAATATGTGTTGAGGTTACTCCGTTTTTTGGATAACTTGTATGCGACAATTTTATCAAAATATACAAGGTGGTCATAAAATTAGGACCTATACAGGTCTACAGGATGTAAGAAGTTTGACTGCCATTACTTCAGCACGAGATTAGCGACCACAATTTTATTGTTCTAACTTTTAGGGGGGGTCAATAGTAGTGAAATTTAGAATCGCGACTGAATTCCACTCCTCCGTCAGCCGCCATTTTGAATTTAAGGAAAAATAGTTTTTGCTCAATATCTCGGCCATTTTCAACTTTACAANTAGGTAGGGCGACCTAGGTGTCCATAAGACAGATCCGGTGAAACAGAATGTTGTGTTTCAACGTAACCTTGATTTTGTTGTTCTGATAATTTTGAATTTTATCAAAATTTAATTACTGTTCCAAACAAAATTACTGGTTATGTGACTCATAACCATTTGGAAAGGCGGGTTTGTAATGTTGGCGGTTTTAAAGGACTATCACAGATTTCTACATAAAGTGAGGTTAGGTTAGGTTCATACACAAAGAAAATCGTGTCCTAACCTAATTCTACGTAGATCTGTAGATTTCTAAATAAAGTTGGGTTATGTTCGGTTAAGGATTTTGTTTGGGTAATACAAGAAATAACCCAACAGTAGAAATCTATCGGTACCTACATTAGGTTGTCCCTAAACCTGTAAGTCTCGTAAGTTTCTTAGAAATGGTTGAGTTTAGGACCCATGTCATATGAGGTTTTTTGTTTATTTTAATGTATTCTATCGTCTGTTAAAATTAAGGCAGTCAAACTTCTAGGGAGAAAAATATATAGGATAGTAGCATGGTTCTAAGAAATTAAGTTTTTTTTAGCGATACTCCCCTAACACCGACGACTACACAAGCTACAACACCCCCCACGTAGGACAAAACTCTCGCCAGTACCAGGACAACAGCATCGACTCTGAGCCGTTATTCTACAACAGCCGACCACGGAACAAACCGGACTATTCTAGGTAGGTGATCGATTGACCATTACGGATGGATGATGGTGTCGGTCTTGGATTCGACAAAAAATTTATTGCCACAGAATCCAACGCCGATTTTAATAACTGATCCGTTTAATATTCCCATTGAAATGAATGTCGTGCCATTTTTTTAACGTGGATTTACTTTGAATGGATGTACTTAGATTTTTTTTTCGAATGGAAGAGGTTTCTCGTATAAAACTGAAATTAAATTTAATTTGTTCCCAGTTTTATGAGGATTGGAAGCGACTTAAAGGAAACTCAATTTTTTTTAGGATTATAACGGTTTTTTTTCAGCGAGAATTGAGTGGGTCGCGAGGTACTTTTATTTCTTAAAAAACTTTTTAATTCCATTTCTTTTGGTTGGTGCTAGCTTGAATTGTATTAAAAGAATTAATATAGGGTGTATAAAAAAAATTGGATGTAAAAAACAACGTACACTGTTGTCAAATCTCACCTTTCTTGATTCGTGTACATGTTTTTCATAATTCCACGAGGGATTTTTAGGAAATTTATAAGAAAGAGAAATCGTCTTAATACGTGCGTCAAGATTTCCCCCTACCTCATTTAATTTTAAAATATTGAGGCAGCGGTATTACAAAAGAAGGGGTCCCCCTAATTTAGCTTTCTAAAGGCAACAACAAAGTTCCATTTTTATTATAATTATTCGCAAACGAAACTAAAACATATTTGAAGTGTTCCAAAATTCCAGAAAGGAGTAATTTTGAATTAAAAATTGTAAATTTTTTAGTGATTCATAAAGTATACAGTATAAGGTAATAGCATATCTGGCTTTGCTGGCACATACGCACTCTTTTGTCGAAATTTTCCATGGCCGTTTTGAATAACCTCGTGGGCTTGTTGGCATAAACCATAGACTTCAAAAAACCCGAAGAAAAAAGTCCAACGCATGATCTGGGCAGCCAATTCTGATCACCAAAACGGGAAATTACACGACCAGGAAATGATCCATGCAGTAATTTAATTGTTTCTTGGGATGTATGGCATGTGACACCGTCTTGTTGAAACCACTTGTCATCTACATCCAATTAAGGAACAAAAAACTGGATTATCAAGTCGCGATAGCGAGCACCATTAACTGTTAATGCTGACCAGTCGCATTTTCGAAGAAGAATGGTTCAATGGTTCAATGGGGTGTGGTTGGGCGTCTGGTTCATGGCGTTTCGCTTGGAAATCTTGTTGGCGATCTTGGATGACAGCTCGTTCTGGTCTCTGTTGCTGCTGTCTTGCTTCTTGGTACGCGGGGACGTCCCAGTGCCCTGATTTAGGCGGGTCGAAGCCTAACAAGACTTTCGAAGGTGTCTCTCCAATGGCTGCGTTACGTCTTGTCCAGAGTACGAACAGTGTTTGGGGCAGGTATAGGTCCCCGACGATGCGCGATGGTGTCCACGCATCAGAGCACGAAGAACCTTCTTTAGCTCCTGGAGCCTACTCGACAGGATTTCCTCGTTGATACGAGACAGTGGCGGTGAGTTTGGTGATCCTATGCTGCTCAAGGAATCGGGCGTAGCGTCGACTGTTGAAGATAGTCCCGCTGTCCGAAATTAAAATCTGTGGTGGTCCATAACGTGCAAACACGTCATTCTCTAGGTGTCGAAGTACGACGTCCCCTGTTGTGGTTGATGTTGTGGTGGCCTCCGTCCATTTCGAGAACATGTCCTCTGCCAAGATTATATAGAAACTGGCTATATGGATTTGTGGAGAGTTGTATTTTTGAATTATGCGACGTTGAAGCTCCAGATACGTTATTTGTGTATGCTCGAATTGCCGTGCCTATTTTTCCGCATCACCACGCAGCTGGACCAGCACGAGATATGCTCGCTCCTCTTCTGGTTTATTGTGTTCCCGACAATACCTTTCCACCTTGCGCGGGAACCTTACCGGACACTCCGTGTTTCCACCGCTAGAGGTGTGGCAAGGTGTTGGCCTTGTTTGTGGCTGTATCACATTGCGTAAGTCTACCGTAAACGCATCAATGAGACGTTGTTCTGCTGTGGTTGGTTCCTGCCTTGGAGTGGAATGTTTTGCGGGTCCAAAAGACAATTCGCTGTCCATTTGTGTATGCCTTTGTGGGATTGGAGGTGGATATCTGTTTTCCATGCCGATGCCTGGTTGCGAGGTCCTTCTGGGCGCGCTTGTCCACTCGAAGCCCCTTAGTTGGGCGCCATGTCTACGCCTACGTTTCCTACTGGATTTTTGTCGCGCGGTTTTTTTCGGCGAGTGATACTCCTGGGAAGGCGTAGAACTTCGTATTGCTTTTTTTTGTGAAAAAATATCACAAAACTTTCGAAGATGGTTTGATACTAATAGTCCGATATATGGTTTTACCGTGGACCGAGAGTCAGTAGTCGATTTATATTTCATATGTGTCTGTCACTATCTAACTTAATTGACGACTGATGACAGCGATGTCGCCGTTTTTTCCACTCAAAGGTCACACTTGGGGTGGGTGGGCCGCATTAAAGGTCACACTAGTACGAATTGGGATTTTGCCAACTTTGAACCTTTGTCTTCTTTATTTGTTAACGAAAACAGGGTGTTTATATCAAAACAGGGGTAAGATTTTAAGAGAAATCAAAGTATGTAATTAGGTTTGAAAAAAAAATTATTAATAAAAAATCCGGTTGAAAATAATTTTTTCGAAAAATGACTTTTTTATTTGATTTTGAAGTTCAGTCTATATTTAAAAAAATACCCCATTTTGATAAAATGATATTATCGATTTTTCCCGGAATTTCGATTATAAGTAGATATTTTTTGAAGTTGTGATTTTTGGCTCCGTTTCTGTAAATTGATGTTTATTTTACACTCTTTTGCATAAAAATATTAATTTAAACAGTATTATACATAAATATTGACAAATACATGTTATAACTAAGTACTATTAATGAAAAAAAAGTTAGAAAAGATTATTATTCAACTATTCGACACGTAAAATGAGGTGAAAGAATAGGAAATTTGCATTTCTAGATTATACATATTAAATTCAACCACACTTTTGCCCACACTAAAGTCACACTAGTGCGAATTCGCACCGATCGGGCTGACAATAACAGATTGAGGCCAGCTGCGGTACGCCTCAACCGTTTGGGCTATAGAAGGAATTATTCTGGTGGGGAATCCTCGGCAGCTGCTACCTGAGAAATGTCAGCTGTTCAAAAAAAAACGGTGGTGCGAAATCGCACTAGTGTGACCTTTGAGGGTTAATAACCCTTAACTGTCGGCTGTCACGCTGCCTTTTTTTTGGGTTGGCAACATTTACCGCACAGATGGCGCGAAATTCGAATCTTGCGTGAATTTTGAAACACCCGATACAACGGTTTCAGTTTTGTGGGGAAACCTTAACTTCTTCCATTTAATAGTTCTAGTAAATCTTTTATTGCCTTGAGTTGGTGAAAAAGTTGTGTTTCTGACATATCCTTAGACGTTCTAGCATGTTGTCACGCCTGTGGGTTATATTGAATTTTTTTGCATTTAAAGCAGGCGTAAAAAGTATGCGAATATGGAGAGCGAAGAAAGGTAAACAAATGTTTAGTGCTCGAGTAGAAAAAAATTCGTTTTAGAGCATGCTCACCGCTCGCTACAATTATTGAAAAATTACGACCCCTAGGAGGTCGCAGATATCTCTTAATAAGATTTTTTGCACTTTTATGAGTTGTCATTTTGGCCTGCTTCTGCACCTTTCTCGTTTAATTTAGATTAGGTTATTTATGTGTCTGCCTTGCGTTTGTTTTTTTTTGTCCATATCTGTCCCTAATTCCATATGAAGTAAAAGAGATATAGCTTTTAAAAGCCTTCGCGTATATTAAATTAATAAAAATAATTAAATAGTTTGATTGACCTAAGGAAAAATATGTTGACAGTAAAATGAATTCCATTATCATTTATAGACTAGGCGCTATCTGTTTTGGTTTGGGTGAATCGTATATCCACGGAGATTTTTGGCTTTTTGGCTTTCAAATATCACTAGAAATGAAAATTTTTCTATGCGCATAAAAAAAACGTGGGCTTAACTTTTGGCGGCACAATATGTT